AACTAACTTATTTAATCTTTTACATAGTGTTCACCATATAATCTATTTGACCGAGATGATCATTTTGTACATTATCATTAATATACACAAGGTTCTACCTCGAATTTCTTACTTTACTTCTTCAGGAAGAATTTAGTTGGTTGTACCACATCTTACCAACAACTTCAAATAATTAAACTATTTATTATTTAATTATCGTTTATCTCGGGTACTCAAGTTCATTCAAGACTTTCACATATGACTCAATAGTCATGGTAATGATGCTGCCATAAATATTAACTTGCGGAATCATTGATAATGAGAGAATTTATCTAAATAAATATGTGGGTCTCTGCATAAACCAATGAACATAATCTCGCTATATTTACATCATACCACCACATCACATATTTCATATAAATATTCATTATCCTTCTGGGATATGCTATCCTCCTGGGATATATTGTGTAGCGAGTGAAAGCTCTGCCTCAATTTTCCTTTCTATCTCAATCAACCTAAGTGCTTCTAGCACTTTTATTATTTGATCCGAATCATTATTTGAGATAGTAAAGAAATCACATAGGCAAGTATGTTGTCGACAACTATGATATTCAATTTATATTTTTCTCTCAACCATTTGTTAGCCATATTTATAATCATTTCCCGTAACATCTAATTTTGCTATTCCGCATTTCCAGTACTATAATGGTTTGATTCACGTGCAAGATGTACTGGATAAACTCTTCAGGAGTTTCTTATAAGGGAGTGTTAATTCTTGAATATACATTTTCGGCGAACTTTCATATATCGTATCACCTTATGCTTCTAGCATCGAGAAAGTCAATCATTCCCTAGTGTATTTGCTTACTTTGTGGTACATATATATATATATATATATATATATATATATATATATATACAAATTGGTCACTCTATTATTACTATAGATTTCTCTTGGTAGAAATATAATATAAACTTCAAGTTCAATTTTTGTTGCGTGATTTCAAATAATGAAAACATTAATATTTCACATAATTCACGGCATTAATAAACTTATGCTCATATCTCCCCCTAATGCCGTGAAATCAACTTCATATATTATGCAAATCCCCTATATTGGCCTCTAGGTATTAAAAATTCGACGGAGTATAAAAATCGTATCATACCTAGCTAGTAATATAGGCTCATAAAGATACGAATTGGTGGTGACATAAAATGGTGCATAATAAAATGACAATAATTTGCAGATGGGAAATGTTCAATTCTCCACGCGTTTTAGGGGAAAATTGTCATAAATAATTGCTCAATATGATCCAACTGCTCATGCTACTTATCAAATATATAAGTTGGGCATCGAAGTATAATAATTCATTTCTAAGTGAATACTATATGCTTCAGGCAATACAATTGAACTTTGCTTGTTAGCCTTTTATTGTAGCTATCAACAATATTATGTGCTTCAGGCTCTAATATAAATTTATTATTATAGTTATTAACAATATAAGTCAATGGTATGCATCTTATCAAATATACAAGCAAACATAAATAATTTCAGAATACTTATATATTGATCCAATCTTTGTAACATTCTGGTTACATCAATTCATTAAGAATATGCAGAGCTGATCTAAAATCAAAATATCATAAATTTATCCAAAAATCAACCAGATTATTTTCTAGATCAATCTTTTAAAGATACTCACTAGATAGTTCTAATGCAATTATGATACTGGTCAACAGGACCAATCCTTCAGGGATAACCAAATCTAAGTCTATATTCAAATTTACTAGTGATACTATTACTTATATAATCCGCCAAGAAAACTCAAATCTGTAAGCATAAAGTTCAACAGGATATTTGGTCTGCAATTCATGATAGGATTAAAAAAATATATATACAAGTTGCATATCATTCATTGGTTCATTAGTCAATTAGACTAAATTTCAAGATATTTAAATTGATTTAGGCTCAATAACTTTGGATCACGTCCGCATAAAACAACGAAACAAAATATGCAACTATAATGTCCAAACTAAATTCATGTCGTAGTTGCATATTTTGATAGCTTCACCATATATATTCCAAACAACATACACAATTCACATGTTAAAATTAATCCACATATGCTTCATGCGTATTCAGATTCATGAACAAAATAATAAAATATTGTGGGTATTTTTATTTTATATCTCTTCAGGAGTACGACAATTAAAGTATGAGAGACTTCTTTTTTTTCGAAACGATAGAGGTAATATGAGAGACTTCATTACATAAGTTATATAATAATTTTCCTCATTCACCATCGAAAATAATCCTTATCTCGAGGATAATGTCTGCTAGACATATCTTACGTGTGTTACCACTTTCAAATCTGAACAAGTAATGTGAAAAATAATCGGATATATATCAAACAAGAGATGCTCATATAAGACAATTAAATCAATGAAACATATAGTCATATAGAAGAGAGATAATTTTCTATCATATATCTCATATGACAAATTATACTTTTGTACATGTGCTTCTGGCACTAATGCAATCTTAAATAACTAATTTTATATCAAGATTCTTAATATATTGTGTCCATGAGTATTGAATTGGTTGGATTTCATTATTCTCATGTATTACTCAGGAATACAAGCTGTTCATAACACACTATAAAATATTCGATGGCATTTTAATTCAAAGTAGTCATCAAGACTTACTTACAGTGTAATCATTCTTGATACTTGTATCGGTGTTGATCCTTCAGGGAGTATATCAAAACTTCATAATTGCACAATTCTATCTTCTCATCCAACCATATTATAAAGATCACGATAAATTGGGGTATGTAGCATCAATAATATATATCCAACATTTCCACCATTTTTTTTTTTGGTATATAATCTTCCTCTCATAGACAATAGACATACATAATATATCACATGAATTTAGATTTTAATCTGTCAAACATACTGCTGCTATGATCTAATCAATTGATAGTGTAACAAATGTAATTTTACATAGAGCAGGTATTTTAATAATCAAGAAGGTATGTCATGAGAATTTATCAACAGACAACTACATAAATTCGATTAAACATATAAGGTTTATCAAAATCTAATAAGTGTTTGATCAATCATTTGGTTATCACACTAGTGATATAGAGTTAATAAAATTACAGATAATAGAATTGTAAATCTTTGAAACTAGAGCAATTTTTCGGATAAAAATTGCAGATTAAAGCAAAATATCATGATTTGTATTATTGGTGCATCACATACCATGTTAATTGCAGATTAAAGCAAAATATCATGATTTGTATTATTGGTGCATCACATACCATGTCTTAACAGCTCTAGTTAACTGATATCACCAAATATGTAAATAGGAGACTTTCAACATAAGATACATGGTCCCTGTTCAAATATGTGATTGATCTTCTATCAAACATCAGATCCACTTTCAACAATTTTTTATGAAAATTAGAAGTTGTAATTACACAACAACAAATCATTTATTTTCCCCATTAATAGGAGTAGAAGCATCCATCCATTCTTACGCAGGATCATGTGTATTTATATACACACATAAATTTGTGGAGTCCTAAATTTTAGAAGTTATTGATAAAAATTTTGGATAATTAAGATACTTAATTAATAATATACACATTATTGGCCTGCAAGTCAAATATCAAGATGGTGAAAGAAATGTATATATCAAATCATAAATCATCAATCAAATCACCACATCCACCAAGTAATTTGGTAATGATCCTCTTTCCTATTTCACCTATAAACATGGTTTTCTTCAAAGCTAAAAATCGCAACATAAGTATGATTGGATATAAATTCTAAAAAATATAAATTTAGCAATTCAAATGGAAACAAAATCAGCTATTCTACTTTTCAAATTGACTGCCTTTAGAAGATAAGCCAAGTCAAGTAGCATAGGCACAATCACAAGTTTTTATGAAGCCCAAAACTTCATAAATCATACACTACATAGGCGGTAATTTACAATTTCAAGAACTAGCAAAATTCTTTACATGATTGACAGATCACGAAAATAAAATGACACATAGCAAGCATACAATCACGAACAAAAATAATCACTTCATTTGCAAATCGGAAGGCACAATTTGGAAAATTTGGCAAAAAATATTGAATCTATTCATTCAACGTAGAATTTAGCCACATGAAACTAACAGATCATTATTGATATTGAATAGATCTTGAATGTTACCTTGACAGAAAAGACACGATTCATTTCTAGGGCATACATCAATTCTTGATTGTTACCTTGATTGCCCGTTCGTTTTGATGTCGTCGTCGTTCGCTTATATGGTAGAGTACTCGTGCTGATAACGTGTTGTAATATAGATTGTCAATATGTAAGATCATAGACAAAGAGAGAGAAAGCAGTAGAAGAGAATAAGAGAAAAGAGATACGCCGTAAAAAACTATCATCTTATTCAATCACTTTAGCCATATATATAAGGGAATACAATTTACATGACCAAAGACCTAATGGGCTCCTGGCCCATACCTATAAAGCCTATATCTAGGTAATGTCCACAAATTAGCATTCATCAATCCACACCAAACAAAGTAAAGAGAACAAGAGACAGAAGAGCAGGAAAGTTTGTAATTTTATTCATCGTATTTCACTCTTTTATAGGATTTACAAGTTAAAAGCCCTAAAATCTAATTTTTCTAACTAATGGACTTCAAGCCCAATTGTCTATTAGGAATGTCCATATCCATATATTTATAACAAATACAATCGGATTTTACAAGTCTTAAAAAATCTTTAATAGTCTCAATTGAATACACATACCTACGATTTCATAAAATTCCTCAAAAATTTAAAAATTTAAAAAATTATAACTCTTAAAAAATCTCAAAATATTATTCAAAATTCTACGCGAATACATTCAATTATATTCAATCAAAATCAATTTTAACGTCATGACTTCTTTCCCTAAAAAAAGTCTTTAAATACGCGTTAATACACGTTTCTTCACAAGGAAAACAAAATATATCGATCTAAAAAAAAACAAATCTAGATCCTTCGAGAACTATGCATTTCATCATTCCGGTGCATTTTAGCCCACGCGAAACCAGAACAATTCTTTTTACACGAGTCTCTCTTCAAAGTTCTGAGCCGACCTATCTTCGCTCGCGACTACTGTCTGATTTTTTCCTCCGACGATCAAAATGTACGGTTCTTATCTGTTTTATGCTTTATTTGTTAAATATTGCCTTTATGAACATTTTGTAATCGGGAACCCTAGGCACAGTTACATCTTCTTGTTGATTGAAAAGTGGTGATTGATATGGACATCAATGGTCTTTTACTTACATTCTTTTCATGTATTTATTTGTTTTTGTGTTGCCAATCGAATTGAGGCAGTTTCAGTTCGAATCTGAGTTGTGGCTCGTTTTAATTGTGTTTATTTTCAAACGCTTATCGTGTTTTCTCTTTTTTCTTGAACGGGTTCCAAGATTTACGTTATCTGGCATTGGGTTTTATGAGTATGAAGTGCATCTTCCCTTGTTTGATGTTTGGTATTCGTGCTTGACGTGCGAAGAAGGTTAAGTATTTTGAAACTATTGAAATTAGCACCTTGGATTGAAATCATTAGCTTTAAATCCTTACAAACAATGCAACACAAAGGTGCTAGCTTTAAATCCATATCATTGATCCTGGAATTTCATGTGTTTGCTCATTTACGTGTTGCTTACATTATCGGCCGTCCTGGTTAATATCCGATTATACTGTGGTTTAGTTGTAGAGGTTCCTTGTTTTTGGAGTTAAATGGAGAACCAGCCACCTGTTGAGGGTTCAGGTGCAAGCGATGCCTCTGGTGGAAGTTGTGGCTCAACACTTCAACTAAATATCAAGACCCTTGATTCGCGGATTTTCAGTTTCCTTGTTGATAAGAATGTAAGTCGTAATGTAATATTTTCATAAGTTGGTAACCAATATATGATCACAATTTCAATATAAAACTCCCAAGTCTTGTTTCTAATATTTTCTCCATGGTGCAAGTGTGCAATCGGATTAAGGCAGAAGTTTAGTTAATAGAAAAATGCATGAATAATTGATCTCTGCATGGCTATGGAGATAAGGAGCTTATTGAGCTATGGTTTTTAGTTAATGTTTGACTCATCATCTGCTGAGAAACTGCATTCTGGAGTGTGGTTGTTAATGCATAGGACAAGTTAAGTTATCTTTGTGTCATCAGCTGCATCATCATCATCATTATCCAATTTGCATTAGAGCTGTCTGAGTTGAAAAACTAACTGCATAATTATTTCCTGATTTGCCAATTTCAGATTTTGGTATCAGCTTTTAAGGAGAAAATAGCTCAAGAAGTTAGTGTTCCCGTTGGGCAGCAACGTCTAATTTTCAGGGGCAAGGTTTTGAAAGATGATCACCTTCTTTCCGAATATAGTATCCTACCAGACATGTAGTAATATTACAGATACTTCCAAGCTACAGACTATTAACTTTTTTATCGATCTGAGTTTCACTATATGGTTGATGTTTTGCTCATCTCGGCAAAGGCGGGAAGTAAATTTTGCTTATGTTTGTGGCTTTATGCATGTTACTTGCTTTGTATACTTCTTTGACGTTTGTCTGAGCATGATGATGAAAGCTTCTTTCATAGAGTGCTCACTATGCTGTACAGAAGCCCAATGTAACACCATTGATAGTGTAAAGATGAGAATTACCATGCATTCCCTTATGCTATTTAGGTTGGACATTCTCATTCCTCGAAGAGGAAACTTACTGTGTTGCTATTGCCATTGTTTACCTGTAGTTAAGCTGCTTTTATTTCTGTGATTTCTTTTTTCTACTCAACATATATTTTTCCAATATAACAAAAGATAATAGGAGAAAAAAAAAACTTTTTGGATTATTCTTTTTTTTTTTTCATTTTATTTTGGTGCTTATGCATGGAAGTATTTGCATTTTATAATCTTCGTGGTGTCTACCTTAACAAGATACAGATGTGGAGCATGGTGATACCCTGCATTTAGTTGAGAGGCAGCCACAGCCCTCTCCTGGCTCCAATAGTGGGGAAGCAGCTTCAAGTAATAGTGCTGGAGGTGGTATGAGAAGTTGCAATATCATTCTAGTTGTAAGTGGGATACTTTTATTTTCTGTATTTTCACTTCCTTCTTTTGTTTACAGGACAGGATACTACTACTGGTGGACCACGGAATCGTATTGGGCAAATCTCCCATAGTGTAGTACTGGGGACCTTAAATGTCGGAGACTCAGGGGATGCTGTTGTACCAGATTTAAGTCGGGTGTGTTTGTGTAGTTGTACTTGAAATTTATTGTGTTTGCTTGACGATGGAACTATGAAAATTAATTTCTCCCATCATCATATATTTATAATTAGATTTGTGCTATTTAGGTCATTGGGGCTGTACTGAATTCTATAGGGATTGGCAACCCAGCAGGTGGCATGCAATCAGGTGTTCAGGTACCTACTGATTTCACTTCTTAAGTCTTTTGAACATCTGATGATGCGGGTTTTTTTGCCTTCCTTGAATAGTGTGTTCTGTGTCCCACGGACAGTTGTCTTTTTAGTTTCTTAGTACAAATAAGCGACGGTGTTCTGCCTACAGCTGTTGGGAAATTTGATTCATGCTAAGCTATGTTAATCCAAGCTACTGTACATTCTTCAAAATCAAAGAAACTTGAAAAGAACTCTGCGTCTTGAGACGTGATCTAATGTTTTCATTGAAATCCCATTTATGCTGTTAGGCTATCGTACCAAATCTGTAACGTCCTATTTAGATCCTTTAGATTATGGACTCCTTAGATGTCTCGTGTTCAGACTTCTGAAGGAAATGAAACAGAACAGATACAGGCTAATGCTGGCAGTCAAAGACAGGGTGTATATCAGTTTGGTTCAAATCAAGCCTCAAACAATCAATCTGCATCCAATCCTACGCAAAACCCTGTTGGTGCAACAATGGCTGTTCCATCGCCCAACGTGGTAGGAAAATGCATTTCTGTATAATCCTTTAGAATTTTTCTTTTGCTTTTATACGGTCTCATACTGTTTCCACTGTTCTTGAAATCAGCCAATACCTGATTCTCTGAGTACACTGATCGAGTTTATGAACCAAATGGAACAGGCATTATCACAAAACGGTAACGAATTTGGCCTTCTTAAGTTTGATTTATTGTATGAATATCTCGGCCTAGTTTTACATTATTGTCGGATTAGGTACTCAACAAGACCAATCGCCAGATGGTAGTGACAGTCTACCTACCCCACAGTACCCAACAAACTCGCTTGGTTTTCCAACTGTAGAGGCATTGACAACTGTTATGCGACATGCACAGCGTCTTCTTTCTGACCATGTTGTTCGAGCATTATCTGTAAGCACCAGTCTAAGGAAATTTGGTTTTTATTTAATATTCTTTGTGATCTCTCTTCTATATTGACTTTTATTTTAGTTTCTGATTCCATTTATAATCTGCTGCAACTCTGTAGCAAACTTCGGGGCGATTAGATCAAGAGGGACGTTCAAGTGACCCTGCTGTTAGGGGGCAAGTTCATTCAGAAACTGTACAATTAGGTGTTGCTATGCAGCATTTAGGCGCTCTATTTCTGGAGTTGGGAAGAACGATTTTGAATCTCCGTGTCGGAAGTTCTGTATGTAACTTTTCTTGTCTTCAACAGCTGGCAATTTCCTGTATGGCAAGTCATCCAACAATTTCTTGGTGGTTATGCAGGGTGAATCGTTCGTGAATGCTGGGCCAGCTGTCTATATATCTCCATCTGGACCGAATCCAATTATGGTTCAGGTTCGTAGTTATGGTAACTGTTGAACTATTAATTTTCCAAATTCTTGCCTTCTTGCCTCAAATATGCTCGTGAAGCCTAATGCATTGTTACTTGATTCTTGGTCTGGATATTAATCTCTACATCCTTTCTCTCTCATAATGCTATATCTTGTATATCTGTGGGTGAAACCCATTTATACAATATTCAATGTTCTGTACCGTACATGCAGCCCTTCCCCCTGCAAACTACCTCTCTCTTCAATGGCCCATCTGGTGCCACACAGAATCAGGTTGCTATGGGTCCGCCATTTGGTAGTGTAGCTAGGAATGTCAATATTCATATTCATACTGGTAAGTCATACTGTGTTATTTT